ATATACATTCTCCTTGTGGGACAGGATGAAGGCTGAGACTGAATTGTGCAGAATCTCTACTTTTCTTGGCAATGAATTAAAAAAAAAATACTGGCTTCAGTTCTGTCCTGAAGAAAACAAGGATGTCTTTTTTTACTTCTTCATTCTCCTGTTTTTTTTTTGTTGTTCTCCTGATTTTACTATAATAGAGATTAAGCCTATTGCAACATCCAAATGAAGAGTTTATCATAAAAAGTGACCTCTTAGCTGCTAATTGTTGGGAGAAAAAAATTCTGATTAATAAAGCATATTACTGTCCTAAGAATTTACGTAGGTAATTTCCGCTTCAATATAGAAATTTGCTCTCTGAAATATATCACCCCGTAGAGAATAGAGTGAGGATATTAAATTTTTAATGCTTTCATAAAAATTTTGCCCAAAATGGAACAAAATGTAAATTTTTGGTATGGGTTGGTTAATAATCTGCTCTCATATATGTAAGAATGGGGGACAAATGCAGTGGTAGATATCTCTTCTTAACTTCAGGGCTAGCAGGAAACTTGTTGCAAGTACAATAAGACTTTTCCACCATTAGTGGTGATGGAGATTTCATATCCAAAAGTAATTTCAGCAAATTCCACATCCTGTAAACCGTCTCCATTCCCTCCAGACACACTTTGAGGCCAAGTACCCATAGATATTTACTTTTAACTTGATTTTCCATTATTTCCAACTCTTGTTGAAGAACGAAAAGCATTTTCTAATTAGCAGAGATTTTTAAGATGGTACAATTCAGTTTGCATCATATCACGTTGCACCGAAACAGTTTGTAAATTTACCTCTGCTTTTTCCACATTACCTTCAATTTTACACCCGTGGGGCAAATGCTTTCAGTTTACCTTAATCCTCTCTTTACTGACTTTAATAGGCTGTAAAATAGTTTAAGAGGAACCTCAAAAGGCTTGTCGGGATTCACCTGGTCCTCAAGCTCTGGAACTCTTTGAGGTAGCAAATGTACTTTCTATGATAAATAATCAGAGATCACTCTTCCTTCTACTTTAAACTAGGAATGATACATCTGAAACTGAGAACTGGGGATAACATGAAACCCTGGACAAAGACTGACATAAGGACCTTCTATATTGAGTTTTACTGAGAAATCTTCACAGGGAGGGCAGGCAGCCCTGAGTCTTGGATTCAAGTTTGAGCTTCATCTCTAGCCACAGAAAGACTGTGGTCAAGAAACTTAATCCAAGTCTTGGTTTCCTCGTTTTTAACATGGGGAAAAGAATGGTACTGACCTCCAGGGTGGCTGAGAAGATTAAATGACATCATGGCTGCCGTGGATAGCTCATCTTTAATGAGTTCTTAGAGGTCAAAGAACTCTGGGGTGGAGGCAGGATTGTTCTCCTCTCTGGCTTGAAAGCAGCCCACGGAAGGGACCACAGCAAGAGTTGGGATTAGTAGGTAAGAATGGTGAGGGAGCAGTGATGGGAGATGTGGAAGGATGTTTTAAATCAGCCTTTTCTCATTAAGCTATATTTCTTTTCCCCAACCTGTCAGGACAGATTTGTGCAATAGTCTGTCCTGAGAACTCAAAAATCACCCTAAGAACGGCTTCCTTGCAAAATGCAGCATCCTCTTAACATCCTGTCCAAAGTAGCAGTGGGCGCTGGAGCCTTGGTGGCCAGACCAGTGTGTTGGGGTGTGTGTCTGTAACCCAGAAGAAGTGAGTCTCAGACAAGCACAATTACTGTGTCTTCTTAATTTTCCTTCTAAAGTTATTCGAGGGGACTGTGGTTTTGCCTTGAGCAAAAACCCCCTTAACAGCCGGGAATCTCAAAGCAAACAACATTATTTTATTAGGTTTCTCCAGCAGATGAAAGCAGAGTGTTCCATTTGGACTCTTTTTGGAGTCAATTAATGCATTAGGTAAAAAACCCTCTGAAAGAGAGTTCCTGCTGTCCTCAGCAGCCTCTAAGAGAAACCTTGAGGAACAGAGAAATGAGCTGTAGACAGACATTCATAGGTATTCATTGATAAGAAATAATTATTGTCATGATACATCTCAGCCCCAATGCAACATTCACCGCAAAGGATGTGATATTTTTAAAAGCTTTCTTTTTTTTTCCAGAATTACCAGGGAAATTAAAATTAAAGAGTTTATTTTACAATTCCTGATTTAAAGTAACCAATGAATTAAAACTGATTTGAAATAGCTATGGTTGCTGTAGTAAGATTTATCTAAAGTAAGTGACCAAAACATAAGACTATGATTGTTGTCAGTTATAGTTTTAACTCTAGCAACAGAAAAGACCTGTAAAGGATATCGTGTGTGGAGGGGAAATACACTTCTCAGAAATTCATCCATCCACCTATTCATGAATCCCTCAAAATTCAGAAACAAGAGGACACCAGGAAACTAAAAGGCCATCCTTGCCCTTATGGATCCCTATCTGGACTTTGATACTGAAAACTGCCAGAGTTGTGAAAACAGAAGTGATAATCAATGCTGGCAGACGCCTCCGACATTGAGAGGAGGAAGTGAATTTCCCAACACCTGTGGTCTTCTTAATACCCGAAGCAGAACTCTTGGGTGAGGACTGTTCCCCAAAGGTAAAACAAAAAGCACACACCCCTTTGTGGGAAAAGCCATTTGTGGAAAGAACATTTCACTGCTCCGACTAGGGAACATGTCTTTTAAAAATCTTTGGAAAAATCCACATCCTGAAAGCATTTGATTACCCTGAATTTAAAATGGGATTTTGCTCGGTGGCAAGGATACAAATTCGTCCCCACAAGTATGGCTTCTGTGGTTAAAGGCACAAGATGACTTTGAGGGAGGGTTTATCTAGAAGGTTGATAAACGGGGCCATAAGACAGGATTCATCCAATTCCACCACTGGAGATCCTCCCTCCTTCTACCTGATGAATTCCAATGTGACTTGCATTCTGAATACCTAGTCCGAGGAGGTTACAAACAGTTTCAAGCACAATTTGTTCCCGTTTTCACTCCCCGCTCACTGAGTTATGTGCTGTTAAACATTGCCAGGAGACTGTCAAAACGTAAGCATCCCGAGGTTTACATAGGCCACACTATTAAATAACATATAAGCACAAAATTTTAAACATTGTTTTGCAGCAATGGTAAATATTTTAGCTAAGTAAAAACTGAAGCTTGAAATGCAATAAGCATTTAAATGACTCTTTCCTGTGCCAGAATTCTTACTTTCCCTGTGCGACCCTGGCTGCTGGGATTAAGGCGACCCCAGGGAGCTTGGAAAATGGTTGTGGGTTATGAGGTGCAGCAGGGGCTTGGCGACAGTGTGCCACCCAGCCTCAAGAAACCCAGCCACGACTGGAACCCAAGAATCAGTGTGCTCACTTTGTGGTCAGCTTCACATTTTTTCCTCTTTGCAAAAAAAAAAAAAAATAGCTGCTATGAAAAGTCAGGCCTGTCCCCCACCCCTCAAGTAATCATGAGGTGGACCAAGAGCAGGGCTGAAAGGCTCCAGGCCTGAAGGAGCAGGGGAGCCTGGTCCCCTTGGGTGGGCATGTAAGCATGTGGCAGTGACACGCCTTCAGTTCTTCAGCCTCAAGGGGGGAAACTGTGGAGGTACTGACAGCCGCCGCACCACTGCCGACGTGTTGTGCTGTCACTTTGGGAAGAAGGGAAACCCAGAACAAATTTCACGTGGTTTTCACCACATGGTGATTGCAGTCCTATTCAAGGCATGTCATAGTCACGCCACTCGATGGAAATTAGGCCTCCTTCAAAGTCTCTAAGTCACCGCCTCTCCCCAAGCAGAATAAGCCAAGGATTTTAAAGCAACGCAGACAATGTGGCCCTATCTCCATTGGCTTCCTGGGGCCTCTGGCTTCTCATTTATGAAAGGAATCACCCTCAGGTCGGATAACTCTAAGTGAAGCCATGATGCTCTCCCATCAAATGCCACAGCTCATAAAGAAGCAGGCAGGGGCGGTGCACCGTTTATGAGATTTAGGTCAGTGTTTTTGCCATGAAAATTTGATATGCTATAAAATCTCAAGCAAGTGAAGAAAAGGAATGCAGAGATTCAAGGACTTCTCTCCATACTCAAAAGCCCAAAGTTAAAGTGCCCGGTCACTATAACACCATTCACATTTCAGAGACATATTTGGAGTTTTATGATTGGTCTTTTAGATTAAAAATATAGGTATTTATCGCTTATCACATGGGGCAGAGGGATGGAGGAATTGGCTCAGCCAAACAGTCATGGAATGAGCCATGGTGTTGGAGATTAAACCCAGGGCCTTGTGCATGCGAGGCAAGCACTCTACCAACTGAGCTACATCCCCAGCCCCCATGTATGCTTTTGTTCTATTCTCTCTCTCTCACACACACACACACACACACTCATATAATGCACACACATCAAAGGCTTATGTACGATGTTGATTCTAATTTTAAACTATAACTTTGAGTGTGTCAACCTTCAGGAATAGGGACTGAAAAATGGCTGTTTTGTATGAAGAGAAACTTAATGTTTGTACAAACCACCGATAAATTAATCCGTAGCATTTTTGGTAGCAAGATGGCAGCTGAAGAAGACCGACTCTAAATTCTGTTCAAGGTGAGCTTCTTTCCCCAAATCATTATAGTGCTAGCCAAATAATAGAAAATAGAAGATATGGTAGCATACAGTTTTAGTATGATGTGGAGTTAGATGAGAAAATACAAATGCCATTCCATCCCAGTTTTCATGTCCAACTTCTCCTGAAACTTTATACTACTTTAATCATTATGATAAGAAACTGCCAAAAGTGTCGGGGTAACTAGAACAAAAATGTTAGTTCGTTAGTTCTTTGCTTATCTAGGGTCAATGTAGTTTTTCTTGTAACCAGGAAAATGAGGGTACACATGACCTTGAGAGAGCATGCCAATATGAACCCAATCTTCCTCAACATGCAGAACGAAATCCACTAATGACAACAGCTGTAGTCATTCACTACACAACACACATATACACAAGAGAAAATGGTTCGATAGCATTAAAAATAGTTTATTTCGACCTTAACAAACACATGAGCCTCTGACCATTATGCAAGGCACCACAAATTAAATTAAAAATTTATATTAGAATATATTTGTCTGACATGATTTAAGACAGAAAGTGGATTTTAAAAGCAAATGGGCACCAACTATTGGGATGGGGAGGGGTTTAGGGCCAGTACCAGCAATAGGGTGCATGAATTTTTCTATAGTGTTTATTGAAACAGGCAGTAATCAGCATGAGTGCATCATATGAACAGTTATTCAAAATAATTAGCACATCCAGGAGCGGGACTGTGTCTCAGTTTCTCTGTCTATATTATCAAATGCCAAAAGCACTTCCTTAAAGTGCAAAAACTTTCCCCTAGCAGTCTTGGTACCAGTAACAGAATATGATTACTAAACATCTCCAATGTGGTTTTCATTACAAAAAACATGTTTCACATAAAAGCTTCATAATACAATCCAGAGACAAAATTTGTGCATGTTTAAAATTTGAATCCTGGCTGGCTATTTCTGATATTTTTTTCACTTCTTCCAGTGTTTTTCATTTTTATAAATATGCACGCAGCTTCCTACCAATTTAAACATGCTCGGAACCTTTTGCTCTGAGAACCATGATTGCCTTTCAGCAGCCTCTCTGGGACCATCATCTCAGTCCAAGAAGGGGAGCCTTAATCTCTATTCTCCTTCCTTGAATCATGTTAGGGTCGACCAATCTGAGCAAATGTCAGATTTGAACCAAGGTTTGTAGGGAGAGGTTCAGAGAATAATTAGGAATAATTCCACTATGATCTGGTTGACAAAAAACACAAAAATGAATGAACTGGCTTTATAGAAAGCTTCGACCTGAATTCAAACAGGAGCCGGACATGAAAGGAATGAAGCCTTGCTTCAGTCCAAGATGGGGCATTCTTACTGCTGTACCAACAACCAAACAAGCAATATCCTCGGGCCAGTCACCCTATGGGCCTCCACTGAGCCCTTCTGAGGTAGATGTTGATGGCTTGAAGAGAGGTAGGTAAAGTCCAAATTTGTTTTCAATTCCTGCAAACGTTGCAACTGCTAGCTTATAGCCCCCAACGTGATCAGGATTAGGAGCAGGCAGTGTGATCCTAGATTTAGGAACTGGCTCAGATCCCATGGGTTTTCTGAAAGAAGCGTAAACAGAGTAAAAAAATCTGAGTTTTTTTTGTTTATTTTTTAATGCGGTAAACATGTTGCATGCAACATAAAGGAGCTGTTGAAGTCTTGTCAGCTGTATGTTCCCCTTTGTATGTGAGTCTTTGTGTGTGTGCGTGTGGTGCTGGGGATTGAACCCAGAGCCTTGTGTATTCGAGGCAAGCACTCTACTGACTAAATTATATCCCCAGCCCTTCTATGTTCCCCTTTTGAATGACCTTGTCAATGTTTCTTAAATCCTTCTCTGTTTTAACATAGGGTCTGATGCACTTTTGTCAATAACAACTGAGGATATGATGTAGCCACAAATTTAGCATGATACTTACACTCCTCCAAAATCAATGTAGAACCATCGCTGTAGCAATTCATAAGTCAGCAAAGTGACACCAAACTGGGGTGAGGATCGAAATACACGAGCTTTGGAAAAAAGAAACCAGGGACAGAACAGATATCATTAGATTTTTAAAAAATTTACCTGATACCAAAGGGTTAGTTAAGAACCAATTACTTCCGTACCACCAGCTCCTTTCCACAAAGCTTTTGGGCCTTCTTCCCGCAGGATCTTTCTGAAGCAGTCTATCACTCCGCTGTAAGTGGTTTGGCCAGCCCGGGCGGCCACCTGTAATCTAGTCTTGATAACATCAGCAGGGGTCACTAAAGATGCCGCAGGCATACCTGTAGGGGACAGGCAACACCATCTCAGTCTGGTCACATTCTCACTATATAAAAATAACTGTGCTTTGAACTGCTGGCCGTGAAAAGAAAGTTAAGAGGCTGAGGCAATAAAATGCCCGTTTCACTGTCCTCCCTGGGCAGCACAGTCAGCCTGTGCACCTGCCTCCCCCTGCTCCCCTCCCCCAGCCTGCTTTTGTTATGTTCTTATTCTTAAATATTGAATAATACCAAGGAATCACCCATCAGTAACACACTTAAGTGGCCTAGAATGAATGGAAGTGATTCCTAAAGTATTTTTGCTTTCCTGTTGAAATCTGAACCTCACAAAGTTATTAGGGCTGATTTTTCAGAGGTGGAGTTTTTCTGTATTTACCTAGCTTTCTGGCAGCCGGCTGTCACAGCAGGCTCCTTCTCTCACACATCCAATGGCCCTACCTTCCAAACCCCAACCTCTCCCTTATACCAGAAAAAGACTTTGCTGATAGCTAAACAAACACCATGTGTGTGTGTATGTGGGTAGGGGAAGGGGTGGGGGAGACTCCACAGATAACCCCATAGGATTCCTTTTTGCAAAGACTGACATCTCCAGAAAAATATTTGACAGAAGGCTTAAAATTTATACTGGCGAATCATCAATGAAAAAGGAACAACAACAACAAAAAACCCTCCCAAAATTACCAATGGGAAATTTTTCTACAGTCATTTTATCCAAAATGGGGCAGCCCATGTTTAGATTTTTTAAAAGCGAGACTGTGCTCAGAAGACACTGTCTCTTATGGTTTTATTACTTTTCCATTATGAACCTATTCCAAACCAAATTGGTCAAATGCAGATGCATAAATCTCCTTTGCTTTTTTTAAGGCTTAATAATTCTGTAAGAATATCTGTCCAAACCAACATGGTCTGGCTCATAACTATATCTCATCCTTCTAACAGACAGTTTTAAAATTATAGCTTGAGTGTGAAAGTGTGTGTATGTGTGTGCATGTGCGTGTGTGTGTCTAGGTAAATCTGCATGCTCCACGTTTTCTTTCATGTTACAACAGCAGTCTTCCCCTTCCACCTCCACTCAGCTCCTCCCATGTTAATCTTGGGTAACAGTTGTTACAAAACACACCACAATTTTACATGTGAAAAGCTCACTTTATATCCAATGCTTCACAGAGTAAGTCACACTGAGTTTCCTATTAGCTTGGAGGAATTATTTTAACTTCGAGCCAGGAATTTATCCTCCAGCATAATGGAAGGAAACATGAAAAATGCTTAGAAACCCACTGTGTTCACACCACTGATTCTGCTTTACTTCCTGGTTTAGAAAGAGTTTAGCAGGCAGTCGGCTTTAGACATGCAATCAAATCCTTCGTACAGCGCTGGGCATGCATGTCCGAGTGTGGCTATGAAATGCTTATGAGCAGTGAAACGGGTAAGAAGTTCCCGGTCTGCTACTTCTCATAAACAGTTCCTTGTCATGAAAAGAGAAGGATGGGGGAGGGGGAAACAGGGAGAAAAGACACTGATTACTAGAATAAAAATGCCCAAAGAAATGTCTAGGCTACTTAGTAAGCTTGTCTGACAGAATTTGATGCTTCAGGGATACTGGAAATGTGGTAACCCGAGAGGAGATTAGGGGACAGGGCGACATCTTCCAGGATCCTCAACAGAGAGGACACTGGCAGCCTGTCTGATTCTTCAACGATGAGACAAATGTGCAACCCAGATGGCCAACCACCACCTTTGGGACAGGAAAAATGTGGGTGCTCCTCAGCTAAGAGTGTTTAAGGGGGGCAGCCATTGAAGAGTGGAAGAAAATGTGTCTGGAAAGTACAGTTTTGGGGCCTGGGTCAACTTTAATTTTCATAGATATCCCATTAATATTTTTAAAAAATGTGTTTATGGTTTACAGATTAATATGTGTTTATTTTAGGTCAAGGATAAGAGTTTTCCAAATCTCCTTTCCATCCTTTTCTATATTATCTACCTGCTACGTCTGGTTCTGAGGTGTGTGATGAAGTTCCTTTTTAGGAACAAGAAAGCATGTTCTCCTTAGTCTTTTAAGCCGAGATCTGATATGCTGATAATACACAGAGGTTGATGATGGATGGTATCTCTGTAGTGGATTTTATCCTTTTATGTATAAAATGTCTTTATGCTTCTGAATGCTATTTTAACCCCCAAATTCTATATAGTCTGACGTTAATATTCCTATGCTTGCTTACTTTTGGCAATTGCCTGGAACATATTTTTCAATCCAATCTCTTTCAATCTTTCCATGTCATTGTTCTCTGAGTTTCAGATGACTAGATGCTCTTTCAAAACTCATCTGAAAATGCTGTTTTTTCCCCCTAGGGGCACTGAATCCATTCCCATCTATTGTGGCAATTGGACTCATTTCTGATATCCTATATTATGCTTTCTATTTTCTCTGCTTCTAGTTACTTACCTTTTGATTTCTCACCTTTCCTGAGTAAATTTATTTAAGTAGTCCATGCATCTATCACACACATGTCCATCGCAAGGTGAGGATTCAGTTCTTTCACTCCTGTCCCTTTACTTCATCTGTCTCCCAACAACCCTTCTTGTATAATAAACACACATACCAAAGTCTGCACTAATTTAGGCCTGTGGCAGACTTAACTTCTGTTTGTTCTATCTCAAATACGCCACATTGTCCTCCTCCTCAAAATCACTCTGCATCTGGCTGCAGAGAAGGTCTGTGAGGGGTAACCTTGGAGTTTCTGCATGTGCAAAGACTAAGCACCTGGGAACATAATCACAGTGTAAGACCCTCCATGGCTTTTTTTTTTTTGGTACCAATGATTGAACCCAGGATTGCTTAACCACTGAGCCATATCCCCAGCCCTTTTTATGTTTTTTATTTTGAGACAGGGTCTAAGTTGCTGAGGCTGGTTTTGAATTTGTGGTCCTGTCCTCCTGCCTCAGCCTCCTGAGCCTCTGGGATCACAGGCATGAGCCACTACACCTGGCTCTCTCTGGCATTTTGAAGGTGTTCAGTTGTGCAGATGTGAGAAGTCCATCTTCTGTTATTAATTTCTGTTTTCTGTCCTCCTCTCCTTATTTCTTCTCCCCAGGGAACTCTCATTAAGTAGTTGTTAGATCTTCTGGATTAATTCTACAGGTCTCTTAAATTTTCTCTTATTTCCCATCTTTCTATTTTTGTTTCACATTCTAGAGTTCTTCCCATGTCTTTATTTTCCAGGTGTCTAGCTTGGTCTTTGATCACGGCCATTCATTTTATCATTCAGAATGATCTCTTGATTTTTAATTTTGACGATCCTTTCATTAATTTTCAAGAAAGCTTCCTTAATGATTATTCCCTTCAAATCCCTCTGAGGACCCTAATTATAGTTCTTAAAAGTTCTCTTCTGTTCCTTGAACTGCCTGTTTTCTCTGTAATTCTTCAGTTCACTTGCAAGTTGCTCCTTCCTGAAGACCCTTGGCTGTTCACTGATATTCAAGTTCAAAGGCTATGCTGATTAGTACTTTATACTAAGTCATTGGTTATCATCTACCATGCTCTGGGCTGGCTTGGCCCATAGGGGCTCTCTCCTGAATTAAAGCATCTTCTCTCTGCAAGGTGCCTTAGCAAGCTGGTAGGACAGAAACGTTTCAAACCACCGAAATGTGGAGGCTTCTCTCTATTGGTAGAATTTATTTTCTACTTCTATGGGAAAGAGCTGCCATTAATTTATGTTTTTCTGCAACACTGCTCTGGAATTACCTTATGTCTTGCCCTACTTTCTTTCAGTTCCTACACAGGCCCCTTTTTTTATAAGGCAGTTCTAAGTTTCTAACCTGCAGACAAGTGTTGCCTGAAGCTCTCGATGACAAGGGGAGAATGGCCATGCCAGGCCATGCGGCCACACAGCAGCTCTCTAACTCATGGTGTAATTTACCTTGCACCTGCACCTCCACCCTATACATTCTTTTTGTTTTGTTTTGTTTTTTCCCTTGGTACTGGGGATTGAACCCAGGGCTTCTGAGCGCGAGGCAATTGCTCTGTCACTGAGTGCATCCCCAGCTCCACTCCAGGCATTCCCATATTCATTCAGAGGTGAAAATGCTCCCTTTTAGCCCTTACATTGTAAGTAGTTTTTCCTGCCAGGGTTTTGGACTATGGCATCATTCAGTCTAGCTTCAGAGTCTGAATATGGTTAATTTTCTAGGGCCAATAAGGAAAGTATTAAAAGTGTATTTTATGGCATTGTAAGGTATTTCAGAGGAGAGAAAAATACATGATCCAATATCTCCTTTACCTTTCATTTTTAAGAATCTAAGAATTGTATTTAAATGATCTTAAGCTTTATGTCCACATAATTAACACATTTGTGCCAACGGTACTTCTCTCCCAACTGATGTTTCCTTATTTCCACCTTACGAAATCTACTGTTCTGCTTTCACCCACTGGAAGCCAACCAAGTAAGTTATTCTGTGATGGTGATGGACAGTGACATCAGTGATCCATACCCAAAAGGGAGAGGCTGACCAAAAGGGGATCTTTTATTTATTTATTTTTTTAGGTGACACAAATTTTTTAAAATTTATCTTTATACATGAGGATTTATTTAACATAATCAAAAGGAATAATTGTTAAAGTAAATTTGGGCCCCAGAAGCCTCCCTAGAGTCTTCAGTAAGAAATGGCAACCTAACCCAGAGAGTAAATAAACTGAAAACCTAATTTAGGAACACACACACACACACACACACACACACACACACACACACAGAGCTTAGTCTCAGTCAATCAAGGCAGCCAAACAGGTAATTAGCTATCTCTGTATCTCAGTAACATTTTCTGTCTCTGTACATCATTTCCCTGTTCCTCTCTACAAATGTTCTTCAGCCAAGTGGCAGGGAGCCGTGGAGTTACTCTGAACCTATTCTTGTTCTGAGGGCTAACCAATTCACAAATCATTTTTTTTTCTCAATTAAACTCTGTTAAATTTTACATGTCTAAAATTTTTCTTTTAACATCCTTTTAGTATGTTGTTATAAAAACGCTAGTGGTCATCAACTATTCACTGTAGTTGTCTGAAGCTCCACAGAAATAGAAGGACTTTTATATTTTAAGTTTTCCCCTTAAAGACAGCAAACATCACTCCTGCCCTGGGACGTCTTCCCGGGCTCTCTGCATTCTCTTCATGTCCTTGCCTAGGAACATCTTACTGATCTCCACAAAGGGAACCTGGGGGCCTGAAGCCCGGGTGGGTGTGGTGTGCCTCTGCACTTGCTGCTCTCCTCAGCACCGCAGTGCTGGGCCCGCTAATGAATGTATCTCGGCTCTCTGGGCCAGCCAACCAGCCGGGCTCTGCACAGCAGCTGGCTACCCTGCTTCCTCCACAGCGTCAGCCTACCCATTACCAATGGACACAGTTTTTTTCTAATATGTTCATCTTATCAACAAAATGCACTGCTAATCTTTCATACTAATTCTAATATTTTTAGGCAGTTTGGATTTTCAGGTAAACCATTTTAAATAATGTTAGCTTCATTTCTTCTTTTCTAAATTTATGCCTCTGACTTCTTATTTTCCATATTGGAACCTCCAAAAGAAGGGTGAATAACAAGGTTGCAAATGACATCTGTCTTATCCCTAACTTTAATGAGATGGTAGTTATGGCATTTGCCATTGGCTTCTGATATCCTATGAAGAAAACTGTTTAATCCTTATTGATTTTAATAGGTTTGTAGACTACATAAGGCTGTCAAATTTGTAACTAATCCATTCTTTGAGCATAAAACCAATATGATATATAATGTATCTCATGTTTTCTCATCATACAAGGAAGGGGAAGATTAAGAGGGAGATGGGCAACAATATGAAAGTAAAAGTTCTGTAGTAAGTGTACAAAATGGCCCTTGATGACCTTTGCCTCTTGGCATTCACACTCCTGTTTTAAGTGATATTTCAATAAAATTGCTATTATTGAACACATTTGAATATTTATTATATGCTACGAAACATTTTGGTGAAATATTTAATTCATTTAATTGTCAATAATGTAATGCTGGAACTATTCTTATCCTTTAAAATAGAGAAAAAGCCGAGAAGGGTTAAATAACCTGTGCTGGTTACTTTGTTCTAAGTGGGGAAACTGGAGTTTGAACTTGGGTAGCCTCACTGCACAGCACACACCATTTTGCTGTGACAGTCAACAATGTTTAAAGTACTAGATTAAATGAAAATCACATTTATAGTGTGATTAGAACTCTGTTAAAAATCACTAAAGGGAAGGAAAAGCAGCAAAAATATTAAATAGCAATTACAGTAGAACAATGGATAATATTTTCTAATTTACCCTTTTCTGTACTTTCCAAATATTTTACAACAAGCAATATTTTCATGATTATGAAAATATAAACAGAAGGAAGGAAACAAATCTAAGAGAGAAAAAAAAATCCAGTAGTTAATTTCTATAGCACAAGTAGCACGGATTACCTATTAAACTTCTACCCATAGATGAAACTGTTTCCTTTTCCTATTCACAATAAGAGTTAAATACAGTACTTTTATAGTTTAAGGAAAATAAGGCTTAGGAAAGGGTTGTACACCTTGATCTAAACTCTACTGCTTATCTTTAATTGCACATCTGCTACTAGGATTGATTTACATATGCTATATGCCGGGCACTATGCTAAGTCCCTCATGTAGATGCTGTCATCTTAGACACACCACCACACTCATAGTAAGTACAAGTATGGTCCTCATTTACAGCTGAGGAAACCAAGGATTAGGGGAAATTAACTTGCCAAGGTCATACATTAGTAAGTTGTACTTAGTTATCCTCAATAGGTCCTATCTTGTTCAAGTAATTAATTTTAAATAAATTGTATTATATTCATTTTCAAATTTTTTTTTTCATTTATACGCAGGACATAGTGAATCAATGGCTAGGTTGGAAGTAAACCTGGGAATTCTACATTCCAGACTTGAAATTATGCTTCCTTGCTGTCATGGTGGTCTTGTTGCTACTCTGAAGAACTAGGGTCCTTAAGCCATCAGGAAAGAACCAGTGTCAAAGCCTTTGAAAAAGCAGAGATTTAAGAATGAAGGAGGCTTTACATGGCTTTCGGGCCCCCCCCCCAGGGGTTCCTATAGGCAGCAGAGGGGAGACCCAAAACAGGATACATCTCAAAGTTGGGAGTTGTTCTCCAGCTGTCTTTGGAAATAGCTCTACTCACCTATCTGATGAGACCAACCCCCACACCAAAAATATTTGAAGTCAGAAATTCCATGATTGTCTTAGGATTTATTAACTCATTAAATGTTTGTTACCACCTGGAGAGCTTATCCAGATTGTTCCAGCCTTTAGGGTCTCAGGACAAGGAGGCTTATAAAAGCACAAACCGATCCCTGCTGTGCCTATATTCAATATCTATACTTTTCTGTTGGTATTTTCACCAGAGCACGGAAAAAAGAAGACAGTTAATTCTGTGATTCAATTAACACAATCCCACTCCTTTAACTTTACGGGGTGTGGGGGACCCTGCTACTAATCAGTTCAGATTGTTATGGTTCTTATTATGCTTCTTTTATCTAAATGATATCTAAATGTTATCTAAATGATAATAACTATTGCTTCAATTTTGGACAAGCTTGTATACAATATTTTGGTTAGACATCTTTAGGGCACAAATTTTCAAGTTTTTAAAAACTTCTGACTGAAACATTACCATTCGTTTGGGTTAAAGTGAAATTATGAGGGCTAGGGTTATAGCTTAGAGGTAGAGCGCTTGCCTAGCATGTGCAAGGCCCTGGGTTCCATCCTCAGCACCACATAAAAATAAGTAAATAAAATAAAAGCATTGTGTCCAACTCCACCTAAAAAATAAATATTAAAAAAAAGTGAAATTATGAAATAATATGTAACTTGAATTGGAATCCAATAAGACCATAGAATGAATCAATATTTAAGGAGCCCTTTCCAGAATTATTAAGTTCACCTGATAATCTACTCTCCCAGAATGAAGATTACTTTCTCACCCTCTCTTTTCAGTCCGTATTCAAAACAATCTGTTATGTACGCTGTCAAGAACTATCAGCAAAATATTCCAGTGTTGTAGCACACGGTGGGGGTGGGGGTGTGTGTGGGGTGGGGGCTAAAGCCTGGGGATGGGGAAACAAAAGAACTTCATGGAGGACACTCACCAGCTATAGCACCAGCTAAGAGCAGGCTCCCAGGGCTAACCTGCCCATCTTCATTTGCCAAAGAAGCCTTCACATGAGCATAACACGGGAAGTAGATGGCCGAGAAAGGAATGTCCCGCAGAAAGCAGGCTTTGGCACCCTGTGTGTTTGCAAAGGAAAAAAAACCACATGAAACACATATCCCATTGAGAAGATTGGGCTTCTTTGGAACTCACCTCAGAACAAAATATTCCTGGAGAAGACCAAATTTGTACTCACAAGTTGAAAGGGGAACAGTCAAAAATCATCCAAATTCTTCAAGTAACAAGTCTGAATCTTGTATTTAAAAATAAAACTAGTTTTGTTGTATGGTGTGAGGCAGTGGGAGGGGAGTTCTCATTTACTCTAATGCTAAGATTTCTATTTAAGCATTTTTGGAATTCTGCCTGTTAAGTCCCCCACTGGTGGTAAGTCATTGCCATTTCATGGAAGATCTGTTTGCTGGTCTCAACAGAAGATGGGAGGCAATACTCAAGATGCTTTTTTTGCTTACACACAGCAAGTAGACAAATTATACAGGTGGAGGGGCAAGGGGTCCAATTTTTGTATTATTTGAGAATCTGACAAAAGTATTGGATGCTTTCCCAGAAAAAAAAAATTGCATGTACACAAAAAAGTTATGTATCTTTTCTGGGAATTCATGGATCCCCTAATTCATTCACATACTTACCCACCATTCAGGGTTTATGAAATGTTGATAAATACCTGCCTATAGGCCTTAAAATATTTACTGTAATTATGACACACATAAAAGGGGTGGTAAAATAATTAGCTTCTAGAGCAAGGTCTTCAATAAATAATTTCTGGTGCCAAAATCATGCCATGCAGAGGCCCTGAAAACTGATGAGTGCCCTGAAATATGATATAATATTATAATGAAAACCACAATACATATATTGCATTTGGGGTGGGCTGCACAGGAAGGAAATCACTCCTTTTCAACACTTAATGATTTAATACCATTTCTTTCACAGATTTCTAATACCTAAAAATTTCCAACAACTATAAAGATTCCCAAAAGAAAATAACGAATCCATCCAGATTCAACAGTTCTAGCCATGTCCAGTGACATTAACTGAGGTCTAGTAATGCCAGATCTTGGATATTTCTCCCTGATGTTGCTCCAATCTGTCAAAGTTCTTTAACACCCACACATCTGTTATTGTAGCTTTTTTTTTCCCCTGACATCTACATTTCATTCCTAACTCAAACTGAGATTTTGAATTATAAAACCCTTAGTCTTTTTCATATAAACTAGTAACCCAGTTCTACTGCAACTTAGTTGTCATACAGAAGTGAAGTAACACAAGTAGGACTTTGTATTTAATCCCATTAAATTAATACCCATTTGGCTCATCCTTGCAACCAGAACAAATGCTTGGAATCTGGATTCTGTCATGTTGGCTGTTCCTCAGTCAACTCACCCATGGATGCCTGAAGCATGTCTCAAACCTACGTTCACTCTGCAAATGGGTATTCAAAACAGGACCAGTCAATCTCACAATCAGCCTATGCTTCTGTATCGTGTGCACTCCTGAACTGTTCAGTGTCTAACTGAAATTAAGAACCATGACATCCTGCGCACACAAGCTGCTCATTTTATATATGTGCAAACTGATGCCAGGATAATCCATCAATTGTGCTTTTATTGAAGGATGTACCCTGGGCTTGTTCAGGGTATATCTTGGAGTTATCTCTGGAGACAGGTCCAAAACTCAGGTCTCTAAGGGTTTCTCCCATCTCTCTCAGCTTTCTCAAGGCAAAAAAAGTAAATTATAATATCAATATTCATATGTAGCATCCAAAATCTTTGCCTTATGATTAGTTTTTTGAAGTCATATTTTAGGCAGTTAGTCTTAAGGGTACTCGACCACCCTTTAATTTCTTATTTTTTCTACCTTTTCCCTTCTTGACTTCGTGTCTTTCTGTAAGTTCTGTCAGCTCTTTTGTTCACATTTGAAGGCCAGATTTCAATCTGTGCTCTCCTCATATCACTGCTGGTAATATTTTCTAATACTTCTTTTTCCCCCTCCTGATTATAAAACAGTAAGTGTTTATCATGGAAAATTCAGAGAAGCATTAAAAATTTAACTGCTCCTAATTTTCACCAGCCAGAGATAACTACTGCGAGTACTGTAAATGTTCTGCAGCCTTCCGTGAGCAGAAATATTACCAACCATTCCAGAGCTGAGATCATGGTGGAGTGGCTCTGGACTATGCCTTCTCTTCTCCTTAGATTCAGTGTATGATTTGTGTTTTTGCCAGGCATGATCTAATATTTCCTTCATTCTTTAGTCATGTTGCCTATATTCCCCCCATCCCCCCACTTCTTGTTTCCAAAACTCTACGCCAACCTTGGTACTGGGCTATCCTATGAATCAGGATGAATATTCTCACCCTTGTCAAAGCTTTATAATGACTTCCTTCACTTGCCCAGTTTCCTCTCCCTGGTAATCCTGATGCCTGTCAGGTAAAGCTATCAATGCCCCATTCACCTGATCAGTCAAGGTACATCTACCACTGAATCTTCTTCTTCTTCTTATGATTGCTAAGATGGGAGTTCCAACGTCTTAAATACAACTTCTTCATTCACTTAAACCCTATATACCACATTTCCACTGATGAATTTTTAAGTACAACATAGACAGGGATGGATTCCACATGGTTCTACACTATCTACACCTTCTTATTACTGTTCTGAGTTTTCTTCAAGTCCTTTATCTGCCTCTATCAGTGTTGCCCATTTCAGACTGTAAGTAACCAGAGGCCAGGAACTATAATCTGATTTAATTTATAACAGACTTTGCAAAATCTATGTTAGTTGGGGCCTAACACGTGTTCTTGAAGATACTCATTTTGTTTTGCCAATTCCCATAGGGAGAAAAAAATCACAACTAAAAAAGACATGGGAGGCTTTCAGATATGTTGTCAGATTTCCAGAAGGACAATAATTCATGCTGGAAAAAATATATTAGAAAACAAACGAAGTTTTTAGTTGAGCAAAGATATATTATTTGTTGGGAATACTACAAAACCTAGGAGAAAAGAGTCATTTTGTACCAGAATGCTAAAGTTGGAAGGAGGGCACCGGGGAGTCAGATTGATTTGTCTTATGCTATGTGATTTCAATATGAGCAAAAAGACACAGGTAAGAAGACAGAACCTGAAATCGGAAACATCCCTAAGACACAAGAAGAGTAAAGGCACATGAAAGAAGCAGCTGGGTGCCTCAAGAAGGGACCCCAGAAGCAGACCCTCTCCCTCCTTTCCTGAAATCATGATAGTAAGTCATGCATCCCTGGGAGAAATGCCTGGGAAGAGGTATGATGAAATTCAAGAGATGTTTGACAATAACACTGGATGGCAGAGAGGAAAAATGGCTTGGCCAAAATTAAACATACAAACAAATGAAAAGGAACAAACCGGGGGAAAGGAGAAACCTCACAGTGCAAGGCTGAAGGGAAAGTGGTAGAATATGTTGCATTTTTAACAGAGGAATTGGGCTGAGTAAATTATGCAAACCAAAGTGAATGTCAGGATATGTAAGAGGACTTAGGTTTCCAATTACCTGAAAAAAAGAAAAAGTCCAAGAAGAGATGGAACTTGTGGGCAGCCACCGTCCCTGCTCTACAGAGGGGATGTTCAAACTTAAAAATGCATCCACTGACATAGGGAGAAGATGTGGTAAGATCACACTCCTTCTACCTCCTATGCATGGCTGGGTAGCCATGTGATGAGTCCCAACAAACTTCTTGTCAAAAATATCAAAGGTGCTTGGTGAGGTAGTGCACACCTTTAATCCCAGCAGCTCAGGAGACTGAGGCAGGAGGATCATGAGTTCAAATCCAGTCTGATCAACTTAGTGAGAACCTATGCAACTTAGTGAGACCCTGACTCTAAATATAAAAAAGGGCTGGGGATGTGATAAACGCCCTTGGGCTCAATCCCCAGTGGCAAACAAACATCAACAACAAAACACCAAAGGTCACCTTCTTCAGGGAAGGGGAGGGACTGGACTCATTAGTAATAAATGAGGCAATTACTGTGAAAATCTTCTATAAAGTACCCAGTGCACTGAGTATACATGTAAGGGACAAATGTGACTGGAGGGTTATCTCCCTGCCTCTCCTGGTACCTGTATTGTTTCCCAGCCCAGCACCTGCTCAGGTGTCTCCCTACACAGCAAATAACTACCATGGTTGAGCCAGGAGGTGGCCTTCAATTCCCTTACACTCCAGGCATCAAAGCCCAATTCCCAAAGAGAGCTAACTCTGCAAAAGGCTGGAGAAACAGGCACACTCATTAAATTTCCCTGGCCTCCTTTTCCTCACCGCTTCCTTCAGGTTGTAGGCACAAAGGCAGGTGCCAATTTACAAGGCCCCCTTAGGCAATCCCTGACCTGCTGCTCCCTGCACAAAGAAAAGAGAAGCAGGATGTTAAAAAGGCTTTTAAAGCTTCAAGGGTGAAAAAGTTTCTCTCTCAGATTCCTTGATAAATCCTTCACTTTGTCCTGAACACCTATTCTCTAGTCCTACATCAAAACACAAACCCTTTTAACTTGTATTCTACTTGCCCCACGTATAATTTTTACTAAGCAATCAGCCATTCTGAACAAGCAACTGGGCAATAGAGGAAAACAATCTCTGCCATCCCACAGCCTGCATCAAGAACACAGAAATAATTACTTTGGCCATTAAAAAATTAGGAAATTACAAAGTGTGTGCCATTTAAAATAAATCTCCAAATTTTTCTGCCCCATAGAAAAATCCTTACATTTCTTTGGCCTGGAGTCTATTTTCCTGATTCTCTGGGCATCTCTGCTCTTAAGAAATTTTCTGGTTGGCCCTGAATTTCCTTTGTACACACAGTAAAATCATTTGAGGAAAATTACCAAATGCAAAATACAATCCTCTAATCTCTTACTAGCCACTAAAGTACTATCTCAAAAAAAAAAAAAAAGGAAATCATTGTTTTTTCTTCTTTTTAAATAAAAGGCCCACTATGACAGATAGGAACAACAAAAAGCATCTCTGGGTAGACCTATATATAAACAGTCTTGAACTCTGGCCCCTTCCATTTTTGAATTGTTCTAATGCCCTC